AGAGAAAGCAAACTGCCAGGTCCGGGACTCAAACCGTGGTCGGCCATGTGGGAATCCAGTGCCTTTAACCACCATACCACCTGTCAGTCCCAACATGCTATTTCAACAACTGGGGAGATTTGAATATGGCCTGTGACAATGGCATTGTGATTATGTAGGAGAATGTCTCTGTCCTTAGGAGACAAATGCTAAGATATTTAAGGGGAAAGAAAGTGGATGTCCACAATGATGAGGAGGGGTCCCAATAGGAAGAGAAAGCAAATGTGGAAATGGTGCAACTGGTTGAAAGGTGCTCATTGTAAACTCCTTGCCACTTTCCTGAAGATTGGAAATGTTTGTTAAAAGATGCTGGATGGTAGAGACTGAATGATTGGACAGCATGAAAGCATTGAAAATAGTTACGGACATTGGAGACAGTGTGGAAGGAGGATGGGAGAGGGAAGAGTATAGGGAAGGAAATTAGGGAGAAAAAAACAGAAAGGCAAGAAGACATTTGTGGGACACGGTAATGTTTATTACCTATTGATGATATTGTGTATAGTATTCTCAACTGGAGTGGTCTGAGGTATATTTCGTGTTGTGTAAATTCTCTTTACAAGCCAAATGATGTATAGTCGTAATATAAATATAATATAAAATGATGTATATTTCATAATAATGAAATTAAATTTAAAAGATGTTAGAAAAGATAAGTCATGTTATAATCATTCTTAACAGCTTACTTCCAGGGCCGGCAGGTGGCATGGTGGTTAAAGGCGCAGGACTCCTACATGGTTGACCACGGTTCAAGTCCTGGACATGGTGGCTTGCTTTCTCACTTTCCCTCTCTGCTCTCTGTCTGATCAAACTGGAAAAAAAAATAAAGTTAAATAATTCTTTGAAAAAAATTTTTAATAAAAATAGCCTACTTTCTCCTTAAAAACCTACATGTAAAAACACAGAAAAATTTCTAAAATCTTTTTTTAAGTTTTATTCTATAATTTCACTTATTTCTTTATTAGAAGCTTTTTTTTCCCTTTTGCCATAAGGCATCTGCACTTGCCAGAGAGAGATAGAGAGAAGGAAAGTGAAAAATCACCCTCATAGGGGATGGCCACACTGTATGCCCTTCTCCTCCATTCTCCTCCTGGGATTTGGGGTGCACACACACGCGCTGCCCAGCATGATTTTCAAGCTGCCTGGTCCAGGACTCGAACCATGGTCAGCCATGTGGGAATCCAGTGCCATAACCACCACATCACCTGCTTGCCCCTAAAAATATCATTTTTAATAGTTTATTTACTTTATTCATGAGAGAGAGCATGTGTGCACATGTTTAAAATAAATGGAAGGCATCCTTAACAGGGTTTCCTCTTGTTGTGATTCCCTCCACCATCATCACAGCCTTCTAGCTTGTCAGGATCTTGGGCATACAAGTGTGCAACCCCACATGTTTTCAGGCTGACTTGAGATCCAAACCCACGGTCCGTCCTGCAGCTCCTAGCAGTGCAGTTCAATATATCACCACCTTCACTACTGAGACGAGGCCTCTAAACTCCGAATTAAAAAGCATTGCTGGGTACCAGCAGTTAGTGTAATGACTATGTCACTGAACTCCCATGTAGTCGACCGCGGTTCGCGTCCTGGACCCAGTGGCTTAAACTCACACCGGGCACATGTGCATCCATGCCCAAGATCCCGAGAGGAGAATGGAGGAGAAGGGAGTGCAGCGTGGCCATCCCCCCTGGGGGGTGATTTCTCGCTTTCTGTCTCTCTGTCTCTCTCTGTCTTTCTGGCAAGGGCACGTGCCATATAGCAAAAACCTCTCAAAAAAAAGAAAAAAGAAAAAAAGCATTGCTGGGCCAGCCAGTGGCATGGTGACTAAGGCAACTGAATTCCACATGGCTGACTGCACTGTTCCAGTCCCAAACACTGTGACTTGAAAAATATACCTGGTGTAAGCTTTCTGTCTCTCTGTCTCTCTCTGTCTTTCTGGCAAGGGCACGTGCCATATAGCAAAAACCTCTCAAAAAAAAGAAAAAAGAAAAAAAGCATTGCTGGGCCAGCCAGTGGCATGGTGACTAAGGCAACTGAATTCCACATGGCTGACTGCACTGTTCCAGTCCCAAACACTGTGACTTGAAAAATATACCTGGTGTAAGTGCATGTGTGCCCAAAATTGTGAAAGGAGAAATGGAGAAGGGATTGCAGAATGGCCATCCCCCCAGGGGGTGCTTTCTCACTCCCCCTCTCACCTTGCACTCTCTACCCACAACAAGCACCCACACCCTCTGTCAAAATTTTAAAAATGTAAAAATCCAGTGCCAAAATCAGAACATTTTTGTGTAAAATCTTACAACTAACAACAAAATGCCTGCCTTTATCCAATGAGTTAATACATAATCTGTACTGGTGCATACTAAAGTCAAATCATTTATAATAAAAACAAGAACAAGGACCAGCAGATGGCATAATGGTTACGTCACTGCATGGGACGCTCAGTCGACCACGGTTGGAGTCCCAGACTCAGCAGCTTAAAACTCACGCCGAGTGTGTGTGCGTACACGCCCAAAATCCTGAAAGGAGCATGGAGACGGGATTGTGGTGTAGTCATCCCTCCAGAGGATGATTTCTCTCTCTCTGTCTCTACGGTGAGTGCACACATCCTATAGCAAAAACCTCTCTTTAAAAAAAAAAGAGCAACATAGAGCAGACAGTGAAAACACATGGAACCATAAACCCCCAGGTGGGGAGCTTTTGAGGAACTCTAGAAGATTTCAAATACAAATAAGGTCTGAGAATTTCAGAGCGGAAAAGCATCAGGGAGAAATCACCTCAATTTGTCGGTGATATAATGCAGGGTCAGAAAAAGGTCGACAAGTGTGCAAGCATTTACAAGCCGCTAAGTGCTTTCAAAGTCGATCTGAAAGCCCTGCCTGTGAGTTACAGTCCACATTTAATCAATGTCCCCCGCCCCCCCAAATGTCCTAACTATATCTTGGAACTCTTTCCAGTGAAATCGATTAGTCTCCAATTTAAATCACAAGAGTTCCCCAAAATGTGAGGTATTTGCAATCCAACAGAAGTGAGTCCAGTGTATTTTCCACAAGTTTCTAGCATAAAATGCTTATCACATTAGATTAGGTGAGGAAACAGGTTGAGGAAGAAGAAGAGATGAGGGTCACAATTACCAAAACAGCTGAGATCTCATCATGTTCCTCAGGAATCTTACTTGGACAAATAAAACCACAAATTGTTGTGTATCTTCTCACTCCCTCAGTCTGCTCCATTCATTCACGCAGACAGCTATTTAAGCACCTAGAATGTACAGCAGAAGGACGTCAATGCCCATATTGTAATTTTTTAAACTGTGTAATATTGTCCTTCTGCAATAGTGCCTTTTTCCTGAACATAGTTGTTTTCTCAAGCCTAAATATGCAACTGAATGGAAAATAGCCCTTCCTCTTTAGTTTTCAGAAATGTGACCTGTGAGCAAATATCATAACTCCACGTTGGAAGGGAAATAGAATCGAAGCAGGGAAAAATCCAAGCTTACTCTCAAGGACTCTGAACCCCCAAGCAAGTGTTGAGGGAGCTCTTGATTGGATCTTGCCCTTAATTATGAGGTTCATGCAAGTCTTAAGCTTGGGTTTCAAAAACCATTAATAATTACCCTTAAATGGCAAACAAAAGGAAAATTTCATCATCGGGCGGTGTGTCTGCAAAGACTATAAAAGGCGTGTGATCCTGCCCAGCTCCTCAGGCTCCTATTGGATTCTTCTAGCTGCCTCTCTGCTGGGCGCCCAGGTCAGTGTGTTTTCCATACAGCCTAGAGCTCCTTCTATTTGCATTCACTCTGCTTCCTTTCAGAATGGTGTGAAAGCTAGGGGTCCGAGAGAACTGGGGTTTGTGTAGCCTAAAGATACTACCTGTAACTGGGACCAGCAGTTAGCTTAATGGCTATGTCACTGGACTCCTATGTAGTTGACCGCAGTTCGAGTCCTGGACCCGGTGGCTTAAAACTCACACCGGGCACGTATGCATGCATGCCCAAGATCCTGAGAGGAGAATGGAGGAGAAGGGATTGAGGTGTGACCATCCCCCCTGGGGGGCGATTTATCGGCTTTCTGTCTCTCTCTGTCTTTAGCAAAAACTCTATAGCAAAAAACTCTCAAAAAAAAGAAAAAAAGAAGATACTACCTGTAACTTAAAAGCTAGACGCTATGATCAATGACTAAGAAAAATATTTGGCTGCAGGCTGGCCAAGAGTGGGGCTGGATTATGGCATGAGGACACTATTGGGGTTGCCCCTCTCTCGCATGGAAGAAATAAATTAATTTTTAAAAATGTTGGAGACCCGTCAGTAATATAGTGGTAAGGGTGGCTGGATTTTGCATGACCGACTGCATGGTTTGCGGTTCAAATCCCAGACCCAGTGGCTTGAAAAACCAGCCAGGCACATGTGTTCGTCGTGCACATGCATCCAAATACTGAAAGGAGACTGGAGAAGGGATTGCAGGAGACCATCCTCCCCCAGGGGGTGCTTTCTCACTTTCTCTGTTTCTCTCTGCT